CAACAGAACACATAAATATATAAAGGTTTGGAATGACATGAGAGTGAATGGCAGAATTATTATAAGTGAAATATCCATTTAACTCATAACTGCTCCTATAAATTAGCCACAAAACATTATAAATGTCTGTGTGTGTCCTGACATTTTCGACTTTCTATAACAAAAATATCAACACTGACACATCTCTTAGTTGTTTCTTTGTAAGCTTATAAACGCATTGTAAAGTGACTGATGTATATTGAATGCTCCTTTCTGTAGTTAAAAGTTGCTGTTATCAGATAATAATTTTTCGTATTTTAATCATGTTATTAACCCAAAATTCAAATACGAAAAAAAATCTCAATTTACAGGTAAAAAGAAACATGAACAAGGGGCTTTATCTTGGAAGCTAAAGTTTGCTTATTTTATTTATGAGCATCTGAGGTGACACGGGCAATTATTTACATTTGTTATTTGCTCTGGTTAATATGGAGATTCAATTAGGTGCTGCCTCCTTTAACCCTGACATTGACAGCTGTCATGTTTTAAAGTTGATCCCTCATTGCACATGCATAGGAGATTAAGGATTGAAAATGGCAAACTGTTTGAATGTGCATACAAATGGATATCTGCGATAAGCTATGGATAAATGAGCTGGGAAAAAGGTAATGAAAACCTCTGCATGAATGGTCAACACCTGCTGGGGTGTGAATTGCTTTTTTTTCTTATTGGTGGTTATTTTGCCAGATGCACCAGAATCACTTTATATATATATATATATATATATATATATATATATATATATATACCTAAAAGAACACCTGTTCAATTTCTCATCAATGCAATTATCTAATCAACCAATCACATGGCAGTTGATTCAATGCATTTAGGGGCGTGGTCCTGGTCAAGGCAATCTCCTGAACTCCAAACTGAATGTCAGAATGGGAAAGAAAGGTGATTTAAGCAATTTCCAGTTGTAACTGGAAATATGTTGTCTGGTCTGATGAATCTCGATTCCTGTTGAGACATTCAGATGGTAGGTCAGAATTTGGCACATGGATTTAACATGCCTTGTTACCACTGTGCAGGCTGGTGGTGGTGGTGGTGATAGTGTAATGGTGCGGGGGATGTTTACTTGGCACATTTAGGCCCCTTAGTACCAGTTGGGCCTTGTTTAAATGCCACGGCCTACCTGAGCATTGTTTCTGACCATGTCCATCCCTTTATGGCCACCATGTACCCATCCTGGCTACTTCCAGCAGGATAATGCACCATGTCACAAAGCTTGAATCATTTCAAATTGGTTTCTTGAGCATGACAATATGACAATGAGTTCACTTTACTAAAATGGCACCCACAGTCACCAGACTTCAACCCAATAGCATAGTTGGGATGTGGAGGAACGGATGCTTCGTGCCCTGGTCTAAACAAAAATGGTGCTATATATAAAAGTGGTTCATTAGCTTGTAATCATAGGGGAACCACTATCTTTATCAAATGGTGCTATGTAGAACCATAGCACCATTTGATAAAGATAGTGGTTCCCCTATAAGAGGTGCAATAGAGCACCTTAACCACCCCAGAGAACCACTGAAGAACCACAGAAGAACCGCTGAAGAACCAAACTGGGCTTAACAGGTTTTTTAAATGGTAGTGGTGCTATATCACCATGACCACCGCAAAGAACCCCTGAAGAACCGCTGAAGAACCTTTTTTTTTAGAGGGATGTGCATCCCACAAATTCCCATCAACTGCAAGATGCTATCATCAATATGGACCAACACTTCTAAAAAAAAAAAAAAATGCTTTCAGCACCATGTTGAATCAATGCCACGTAAAATTAAGGCAGTTCTGAAGGTGAAAGGTGGTCAAACACAGTATTAGTATGGTGTTCCTAATAATCCTTTAGGTAAGTGTATACTGTATATATATTACATCCCAATATACTGGTAACATGGTGTGAGTTCAAAAGTTTAGAAGCATAAAAACAGATCTATTTCACATGTTGTGTTTGCAGAAAGCCACTTATATATGCAAAAAGCATGCAAACTCTACATGAAAAACAACCAAATGTGATGTGATCCGAGAGAACACGCATACACCTCATGCTCTGCCTTCCTGCATAGTGTAATTGACCAAGATAAATGGCTTTAATTGTTAGGTACACATACCGTCATCATTCTATACATTGTACACTGAGTGTACATCAGTTGGAACAGCTTTGTTTCAGTTAATTGTGCAGGAAAACCTTTTTTATGTTTGTATTCAGTAGGGTTTGTTCTAGTCTGAATCTTACAGGGAAATTGTATTATCTATTATGATTGTGCTTCTGTTTCACCAATGAAAAAAGTAAAATTATATAAACATTAAACTCTGGTTGATGTTTTCTTCACTGAATTTTTATCAGGAATGAAGAAAATCTGACAGCACTCCTTCTGGTGTAAACAGGAAATAATTAAAAAGAAATACTCTAAACTGGAACATTATTAATTTCATCAACATTCTACCGTAAATAACTGTAGAGAGTCACTAGAGAGGTCTCTTAAAAGTTATTGTAACTGTGACCATAATTGTCTAGCCTGTAACTTGTTATCAGGACTGTAACGATAATTGTATATGGTTCATTAAAAAAGCATGACAAACATTCATTTTCCATTTTATTTCAAGCAACTTTTTATGGTTTTCATTTGAACTGATCCTGAAAACTGTTGTCATTAAAGTAGAGAGGAGAAAAATCGAGGAAGCATACAATCAATGTCTCATTGCTTACGTTTACAGATCTACAAAATTGTGTTCTTTATGTCACAGATATTGTCACACATATGGTGTTCTTTATGTTTGTGTGATCTGCCCACACATAGATTAAGGGATAGTTCAACCAAAAGAAAACCCATACAATTTAAGTCAATGGTCACCAAAACCGTTTGGTTTCCAACGTTCGCATCTTCTTTTGTGTTCTGCAGAATTTCTTAGTTGCAAGATTAGGTTTACAATTTACCACACGATGGCGCAAAACACATGGGAATATCCAGATAGAAATATTAAGTCCCTACCAAAGATGTAAAACATAGGCTAATTCAAGACTAAACGTTTTGTTGTTGTTGTCGTTGATGTATAAATATCATGACTTATTTCATAAATATCATGAATATTTGTTTGTGGATATTGATTTGTTAAAATATGTTATATAATAAAATAGTATGCCACACTAATTAATAAGATTTAAGAATTTCATTCTTCATTCATGATCATAATAATGCGAAGAATAATACAAATAAAACGAAGAAGACACATTTACTTGTAAATTAAAAAGGCAAAACTAAACCAGTGTGTCTCATATTGTAGTTGTTATATTACAATTTACCACTAGATGGCGATATGATAATAGCGCAAGTGTTTTATTTAGACCTCTAATGGGAATGTTGTACCAGAAGTACTGCTGTTCCCAACACTTAATACAGTATTCACAACTGTAATTAATAACTGTAACAACTGTAATTAATACAGTATACAACTGTAATTAATACAGTGTGTCAAACGACTACTGGGAATGACCAATATCATTTAATTTTTTAATGATACTAAATTCCATGGTTCTTCAATGTCCCCTTACTATCAGCTCTGTGTTGAATATTAACCCTATTGTACTGTCTCTTTCAGGTTTGACACAAGTGAATCCCTCCTTCACAAATGACACATCAATTGCTTGCCTTCTAGTCATGACTCATTACTCAGTCATGACACAAAGCCAACCTGCTCCCATTGCAACATAGTTATATATAAAAAAAATAATCAATTGCTATTATTACCACAGAGACAGGTTTTACTGGTTTTCCCTTGTGAACGCACAGAACATTATGCTTTTATGGTAATGTCCTCATCCCCGCACAGCTGTTAAAAGCTCCTTATAACAAATTTATTTTGTTTTAAGGCAATATGCTTTTAAGGTAATGATTCCTCATGCGGTAGGTACAACATGAGGTTTTTAGAAATCCATAGTATACTGTCATTCTAAATGAGGAACTGGGATGCTATTGCCATTTCATGCTTTAGTCTGATGTCTAAACCCCTTTACTGAGCTTATTGGTGTAACCTAATATAAAAGCAACAGCAGATTATCATATGTGATAGAGAAACACATGGTCTAACACAGGAAGCCCAATTGTTACCACAGGAAGTTTCCAGCTCTTTAGCTCTTTGGAAGCTCAAGTCAGAAAGCCAATGGTGGTTACAGAGATTTCAAACAGGATATGACTCCTCATGGTAACCGAATTCAAACCAAAGATGTGGAAAAGAAGGCTGAACAGATTTATGAACAATGTACAGAGCTATTTTACAGAGCTAAAAACATTAAATATTGTTGGGTTCATTAATATAGGCTAGAGGATAGGGAAAGCTAAAGAAATGTGAGAAGATGAATTCGCGAGCTTGCAGTCCTTACAATGGGTGTATTATATTCTTTGCTCTTATTTCACTATGCAGCTGTCAAACCAAATGATTTACATACTATTTTTGTGCTTGGGATTGGTTAAAAACGGTTGTTTTGCCTTTTATAAAAGACATAAGAAATAGGATGATAAATAGGCTATCAATTCACATGTAAATGTAATACTTAAGCGTTATTTTTATTATATGGGCTATATTAAATTATTCTAACAATATAATACAATGTAATATGTATTATATTATTATTAAGCACTACAAATATGTTGTGCTTGACTTATAATAGATAAACAATAGCCTGTTAACTAAAACATATTTCTACATTTCTGACAGGTTAAAGCCTACAGAATACACATAGCCCCACCTAGTATCAGCCTTGTGTAAAAATGTAATTCCACAAATTTGGAATTTTGCCCCAGTAGGCTTGTGTGTTTTTGTAATTATCAAACATTAAAGCTCTGATGTAATCTGATACGACGCTCTAGTAAATATACAAGAATTATTTAAACTCTATATTTGGCAGTGTGCATGGGCACTCATGGGAAAATGCTTGCGAGTTTCTGATCACATGACTGGAAGTGTAGGATTTGACTCCAGCTGGGAGAGCAGGGGAGAGGAGCGTGTTCAACAATACACGCATTCAAAACACTCGCATGTCCACGTCGCTATTCGTGGATCTGTCACGGGAAACTATTTCATCGATTTCTTGTAACTTTTAAAGCTTTTACCTAATTGCGTTTTTCGTATATCAAACAAGGATATTTCGGCAGCGTCATGGGAATTGGGAAGTTTACCGGCTGCGCTATGGAATAGCTCAAGTCGTGGATCCGATGTGTTTTCTTCAGTATCAGGCAGAAATACGAGCTAACTTGGAGAGACGTGGAGAGGTTTAACTTCATACAGACATTCCTCCTTTTTGCTTGCTTTGAGTTTGATTCAAAGTTATTAAGAGGCAAGATGGCGGCCGATTCCGTGCAGGTGAGAGAATTATATTTTATTTACTAACCGCGCGCTTCAACATCAACACACTTGATATCCGCATCCATGTTTTCATCTGTTTTCTACTTTAACATTTCAACACCTATCTTAAGGATTAGATAGTGACTTAACTGTGTCTGAAAGGGTTAAATGTGGCCTAGAAATATTGACACTGAGACCAACTGTTGCTTTAATCCCAGGCCATAGGCTAACTAGTTAAACTATCCGTTTGATTGCAAATACATACATTACTCCAGTTTCATTCAGAACAGCAGCTTACTATTTTGTAGCCTACTTATTTGTGCTGGTTCGAACTTCGCATATGTAGCTTTAAATAAATGATGCTAACGTTAATTTAACTTACTTTTTTCGACTGCATACAGTAACGTTATTTGCTGTGTTGACTGTTTGAAAAGCAAAGGCGTTTTCTTCGTGCATAATGTCTAAAATTGACTAATACAGTGCCATTTTGGTCCTTCAAATCCCATAAGAGGTGTTTTCAGGAATTAAAAATCATTTGGCTAAATACACACAAAAATAAATCACTGTGGAGCAGAAACGAATCGGTTACCTAACGTAACCTCGGTTCTCTCTAGATGAGGGAACGAGTATTGCGTAAGCTAGCTTACGCTACGGGAAAGATTCATCTTTGCTGAGAAGTTGAAGCCAAAAAATTATTCCATAATTTTGTAATCATTGTCAACGCAGTCTCTTCTGAGGCAGACCATGAGCGGGCTAGCTAGCGGCTCATTGGTTCGCTCAGAGAGAATGCACGAACCTATGGGAGAGCGGCGCTGAGTCCGCGGCCAATGAGCGGACGGCGCTCGCTTACTGCGTCACAGCCCGCCAAAAGGGGCGTGGCTACAGTGTATAAAGGTCGCTCTCCCAGCTCGTTCGTTGATTCTGTAGCATGAAGCGAAACGCTGGTGGCGCAAGCACGGCCGGGAACGCAATACTCGTTCCCTCATCTAGAGAGAACCGAGGTTACGTTAGGTAACCGATTCGTTCTCTTACGAGAGGTTCTCTCGTATTGCGTAAGCTAGCTTACGCTACGGGAACACCTGGTCAACGCCGTGCGCGCTAAGTAACCACTAAGCATCCCAGGGGAACACCGGGGGAATCTATAAGTGGATGAAGATAATACGGCGGCCAGATAGCGGCCGTTACTATCTAGTGCAAAAACGCCCAAGGCGGCCGGCGAAGGCGGGCCGTGATGTGAAGGCTAATGCATAAGCACATAGGGGAACACAAGGGGTGAAACGGTTGTGATGGAACTCCCGATAGTGCGGCTTCTATAGGAGGGCTGTGAGTACTAGACAGCCAGAATTTTAGCCTGTAAGGCTGGAACTTCCAAGTTGTAAAATCTGACAAAGGTGGAGGGGGAAGCCCATCCCGCAGCCACACAAATGTCGTGGATGGAAATCCCGCAGGACCATGCCCACGATGAGGCCATGCCTCTGGTGGAATGAGCCCTGATGCCCAGAGGGCAAGGCAGGTCTTTAGCGGCATAAGCAGAGGCAATCGCGTCTACTATCCACCTGGATAGGGTCTGTTTCGAGGCGGCTAGTCCCTTGGTGCGGCCACCGAACGACACAAACAGCTGCTCCGAGCGTCTGAACGCGGCCACGCGTGTAGTGTACACTCTGATAGCCCGAACCGGGCAGAGGCGGTGAGCGTCACGTTCGCTATCGGATGCCGGCAGCGCCGATAGAGAGATCACTTGCGCCCTGAAAGGGGTACCAATCGCTTTTGGAACATAACCGTGTCTAGGCTTTAGAATGACTATGGAGTCACTCGGTCCAAACTCTAGGCACGCGGCGCTCGAAGACAGCGCGTGAATGTCCCCCACACGTTTTACTGAAGCGAGAGCCGTCAGAAGAACGGTTTTTAACGAGAGGTATTTTAGCTCCACGGACTCAAGTGGTTCAAACGGTGGGGCTTTCAGAGCTTCTAGAACTATAGAAAGATCCCAGACCGGCACCGTAGGGGGGCGAGGGGGGTTCATCCTTCTGGCTCCCCTGAGGAAGCGGATGATAAGCTCGTCTTTGCCCAGAGACTGGGCGCGCCGGGGTTCAGCGAACGCCGCGACGGCTGCCACGTAAACCTTAAGAGTGGATGGGGACCTGCCCTTATCCAGCATCTCCTGAAGGAACACTAGCAAAGACGAAACCTCGCACGTCCGTGGGTCCAAATTCTTGTCGGTGCACCATTTGGAGAACACAGACCATTTTGCAGCATAGAGCTTTCTGGTAGAATCCGCTCTGGCGTGTTTGATCGTGTTCAAAACCCCTTCTGGCAATTCGACGCGTAGTCGTTGGTCACCCATGCATGAAGCGCCCAGCGCTGTGGATGGGGATGCCAGATCGAGCCGCGGGCTTGAGTGAGGAGATCTGCTCTGATTGGAATGGGCCACGGGGCTGTCTGTGACAGCCGCGTTAGCTCCGGGAACCAAATCTGATTCTCCCAGCGCGGGGCTATGAGGAGCACCGAGTGGCGTGAGTCCCTGATTCTCTGAATGACCTGCGGTAGCAGAGAAATCGGGGGAAAAGCATAGAGCGGGCGGCGGGGCCAATCCTGGGCTAGCGCGTCCTCGCTCTTTGAAAAGAATATTGGGCAGTGAGCGTTCTCTTCTGACGCGAAAAGATCTATCTCCGCTCTGCCGAATAGGCGCCACAGTGTTTGGACTGTTTGAGTGTGCAGGGACCATTCTCCGGGGGAGACCAGGTTCCTGGACAGCCTGTCTGGACCGTCGTTCAGATGGCCCGGCACGTGCGTCGCTCTGAGCGAAAGCAGGTGACTCTGGGACCACAATAGGATGCGGCGTGTCAGATGAAAGAGATTCTTGGATCTGACGCCGCCCTGACGGTTGATGTATGATACCACGGCCATATTGTCGGAGCGAATCAGGACGTGGTGACCGTTTATGCGCGGGAGGAAGCACAGCAGCGCGTTCTCGACCGCGATCATTTCCAGACAGTTTATGTGTAAGGAACTCTCGTGGCTCGACCACTGGCCGGCGGCCGGTGAGCCCTCGCAAACCGCTCCCCAACCCGAGTTGGATGCGTCTGTCGAGATGACTTTCCGGCGAGAGAATGTTCCCATAGTAACGCCCCTCTGAAACCACTCGCTTGCTGCCCATGGCTGCAGTGCAGTGATACAAGTCTGAGTAATCCTGATCATCTGGCGGCCCGTCGTCCACTCGTGGTGGGATACGCGGCTCTTTAACCAGAATTGAAGGGGGCGCATGTGCAGGAGACCCAGCTGTAGCGCAGCGGAGGCTGAAGCCATATGACCCAGCATCCTCTGAAGCGATTTCAGGGATGTAAGGGTACCCATCTGAAACGAGGCGGCTAGGCGCTGAACACGGCGCGCGCGCTGTGTGGATAAGCGAGCCGTCATCGTGATAGAGTTCAAATCTATTCCGAGGAACGAAATAGTTTGACTGGGCTGGAGAGAGCTCTTTGTCCAGTTGACAGAGAGTCCCAGCGCTTCCAGATGGTTGAGGAGAACTGTGCGGTGCGACAGCAGCTCCGTCTGGGAATCTGCTAGAATCAGCCAGTCGTCCAGATAATTCAGTATGCGCAGCCCCTGACTTCGCAGGGGGGCGAGCGCTGTATCCATGCACTTCGTGAACGTACGGGGTGCTAAGGATAGGCCGAACGGGAGAACGGCATACTGGTAAACTTGGCCCTCGAAGGCGAAACGTAGGAATGGCCTGTGATGAGGGTTTATCTGGATCTGAAAATAGGCGTCTTTCAGGTCTAGAGAGATGAACCAGTCCCCCTGGCGGACGTGCGCGAGGAGTTTCCTGACTGTGAGCATTTTGAACGGTCTCTTCATGAGCGCTTTGTTCAAAGCCCTGAGATCTAAGATCGGCCTGAGGCCGCCGTCTTTCTTGGGGACCAGAAAATAACGGCCGTAAACCCCGACTCGGTCATAGATGGCGGGACTCTCTCTATAGCGCCCTTCTGCAGTAGCTTGGCTATTTCTAAGCGAAGCGTGTTCATAGCAGCCGGGCTGACAGTGGATTCGAGCCGCACGCGCGAGCGTGGCGGGCGGCGACGAAACTGTAATCGATAACCATTCTTTATTATGCTTAAAACCCACGGGGAGATGCCGGGGATGGCTTCCCACGCTTTGTAGCATACGGCTAGTGGTTGAATGGCGATTTCGCCCTGATTGCTGCACATTGCGGGCTGGACACTGGGTGTGGGCTCGCTTATAATGTGGAAGGCAACGGGACTTACACTCAGAGAGGAGTTTAAGGGCCTTGAGACAGAGCGGGCAGAGGGGGGACACGCGCACGGGCTCGTGGGCGTGCTTATGTTCTCTGCTGCTGGAGCGGAAAGTGCACGCTCCGTGAGAATGGGCTCTGCGAGAGACCCTGGGCATAAAGTGCTTGTGTGTGTACGTGAGCACATGGTTGTGGGCACGTTTTTTACACTTGAGGCTTTTATGCTCTTTTGTGAACTCTCTGGGTAGCCGTGAAAACGGCTTTTAGTCGCTCGCAAGCGGGCAGGGAAACCGGCTTGTTTGTGGCGGTAAACACTACTGTAGTCAGCGGTGAGACGGGGACTAACAGTGGGCGAAGCTTTGACGGCGGTCCGGCCGCAGCGGGAGAAAACCGTCTTTTTCTCAGCTGTGCTAGGCAGACTTCTGTTGATCAGGCTTCAGCGTGATCTTGGGTCGAGGCCCCCGGGGCGGAGGCTGTCTGCGGCGGCTGTCTGAGCGAGAGCGAGGGCGGCCGCCCTGTCTACGCTGGGGCTGCTGAGCTTGCTGAGGCGGGCGCTGCTGTGTGGTTCTGGCAGGCGGCTCGTGAGAACGGCCCGTCGAAGAACTCGAGCGGCGGGGCAGGAACAAGTTCATGGCCTGAGTCGCTTTTTGAACTTCGGAGAAGCGGTCAACGATGCCCGTGACGGCGGATCCGAAGAGCCCGGTGGGGGAAATAGGCGCGTTGAGGAACGCGGCACGTTCTGACTCTCCCATGTCGGTCAGCGTGA